TTATCCATTAAAAATTTGTTCTGTTTAAATTAAGAAGTTGCTGGCCAAAAGGTACCAAAAAGAACCTAATTTTGGGGGGGTTTAAACAGTGAGTATGTCTTAAGTTTGTGACTGGAGCAGTGTGTGGCCAATAGTGTAATTAGAGAAAACAGTATCAGTGAACTGTAGAGATATGAAAATATACAGAGTATGCAAGAAATAAAAGTTATCAGATATATTTCGAGAGCACAAGGAAGTATTAGAACATCAAGGAAGACTAGGATGGAAAGCCAGATGGGAATAAAATTATAAGGGGTTTTGTATATCTTAACTATTCAATTTTTACTTTATTCTTTGGGTGGTGGATAATTATTGGAGATATTAATCAGATTTTAATTCTAATGTAGCATGTATAAAATATATAAATGGAATCCTATAAGATGTATGTGAATAATGAAGTGTTTTGACTACACAGAATAAAGAAGATATAGGCTAGGACAAAGATAGTAGCCCTACCTGTAAAGGGACTTAAAAGTAGGAGTTAAGGGGCTTTACTTTTGTAGAAATCTCAAGATTAGGTAACCAATCAAACTTCAAAAGTGAAGTGTCTATGTTGGGTTTCAGTTTTGGATGATTGTGTGAAAAGAAAGAAAATGAGTACATTTGGAAACGGTTGAGTTTGAGATGACTCTAGAGATTTCCCATCATTAATTTGCAATTGATTCCAGAGCTCAGGAAAGAGGTTGGGGATGAAGATATAAATGTGAGTCATTAGCATTGTAGGAGACATGAAAGTGCTTCTAGGAATCTATGTCATCTTTTCAGAAGTATAGAGAACACAATTCCCTAACTTCTAGTAACACACTTTCTACCAGTAAATTGTAAGTTCTTTCACTTGTAAAATTACGTGTTCAAGATTTAATCGTTTCTTTTTATTTTCATTCTTTTGAAAATGTTTAATGATCATCATGATATTACTTGCTAGTGAAAGAGCATTTTAAGAACTGATAGAAAATTGGCTGTCTAATTTTGTTATTGTTATTTGAGGTAGAAGACTTACTATTAAGATTTTTAAAAGAAAAAAACATTTTAAGAAGAGTACTTCAAGATGATCAACTGTTGAATTTAATAATATTTTTCTACTTGCTATCTTGTTTTTACAGTATTCCCGCTATAAAAACTTTCATGCATTCTTCCATCTGTTGACATGACTAGTTTTTATTAGGTATCTACCATATCCCAAGCCCTGTGCCAGGTGCTGGGGATAAGAGAAGAGAATATGTTGTTTAATATGAGTGTTTAAGAAAAATATTTCCAACGACTACTAAAAAGTAAGTTTCTTCTTGTATCTCCATAACTTAAAAAAAAAGTAATATAAAAACAACAACAACAACAACAAAAAAAACAACTACAAAACTCCTGTGCAAGGAGAAATGGTTAAGGATAATAGTCAACAAAGATAAAGTACCTTTTTTTCAGAAATGTAACTGAGTGGAAATGCTAAAATACAACATTAACATTTGTTATGACTTTTGTGTAAAGGCAGAAGAGAAAAATCTGAATATTTTTATGGATTGGGGATACTTTTAAGAATTCAAAACTAACTAACCATAAAAATAGATGCTGCTTCCATGGTAACGTAAAAGAATAGCAATAAAACACTGGGGAAGGTAGCTCTGAGAATAAAATTCTAAAATATGTTCTTTTTTAAAGCAAGTTAAAATTTTAAACACGTCCCTAGTATTAATCATCCTAGAAATATTGAATTCTACCAAAAGTATAATTCACAGTAGGGTTTTATGGGATGGGTTAATTTTTTCATTATATATATTTGTTAAAACAACAGGAGAGACAATTCATTTTAGTAAGCTTAACAATATAGGAAGTGTTCATTTACCTTGCCTTTGACATTAGTCACTAAAAGAACATTTTGTTTTTTCCTATAGAAGCAAAAAGAGAAATGATTAAAAATATAAATGGAAATAATAAATAAAGAAAATAATTAATGGTCATAGATGAATAAGCACTATTTAGTATATGCCAGGCTAGTGTTAGTCGCTTTACAAATTATACTAATCTTTAAAGAAAAAAATTGGGGAAAAATATTTCATCTATTTGATAGATAAAATATTAAAGCTCAAAAATATTAAGTAACTTACCATAAGTTATCCAATCAAGTCAGAACAATGCTATAAAATGATATTCTTTTATTCTAAATAGTTCCTTTTCTTCCATTTTTTGTTTAATTATGATATTAATGGATATATACAAAAAATGTGGGGTAAAAAGTAAAATTTCCTATTCCAACTCAATCTTCTCACCAGAGGTAATTTACATTCCAGATAGATTTCTATGCATATAAAATAGCTTATGTAGCATCTATATAACTAAAGATATCATAGATAACTACACAGAGAAAAATGTTCACACATCTTCTTCATAAATGAGATCATTCAAAGTAATTTGTACTCTGGATTTTTTTCTACCCTCCTTTCAATTTTTTATAGCAATGCACATAGACCTCTCTCAGTCATTTTGGTGGCTATGTAGTATTCTATACTATGGATACGCCATGATTTATTTAAATATCCTCCTCTTGGTAAATATTTAGTTGTTCTCAGTGTGTTATAACAAAAAGAGCTCCAGTAAACATTCTTGTACATATATTTGTAGACATGAATAAGTATTTATGTAGATGAAAAAAATATTGGTTTTAATTTCTTCCTTGTCATTAATGTAGAGACAGAGTATATGTAGGTATAGGTTTTTTATTCTTTTTTCACTTTATTTATGAATCCCTGAGGTTGGTGTCTTTGAAAATAGCCTTCCTTGGCAAGGTGTACATAGTACTAAGGTATAAATTCATTATTCTGACCATGAATTCCTTACTCTATTTACCTGACTATTGTTTATTAGGTGCCTATCATAGCCCAAGCTCACTGACAAGTGCTGGGGTGAAGATAGGAGTAAGATATAGCCTCTGCCAATAAGAAGTTGACAGTACAATGGAATAGCCTATTTCTAGGTATTTGAAAACTTGTAAATGAACAACGTAATTTTTAACATTTACGATTGAGGTATTTCATGTCATTTAGACAAATCCAGGCACATGACAGGTTATCCTTTTTAACACTATCAATGGCAACTTAATGAATCCTTAAGGATAATTCATTTGAGGTATTTCTTCTCTCCTTTTAATCTGCATTAGAATCAGAGTGATTTCGTAATAATGCTTCTCTTTTTTAATTTTATAGGTCATTATGGTACAGATGATCAATTGACTTTTTTAAAATTTTTTTATAAGCTATTGTAACATATTCTAAATGTCCACTCAATATCCATGGTAAATAAACTGTGAGGAGCAGGCACATGTGAGTGTAAGGTGCAATGTTTAGTGCTTTTGTGCTTGAGGCTAGAAATATTTCTAGCCAAAGAGACATACACAGAGGTATGCTGAACATCTAGTAAATCTTTTGTTTTTCCTAATAAAAGGACAGACTTGTTTATTGCATCTCTTATCTAGGCCCTCTCTTCCCACCTTGAATGTGGACATGATGTCTGGAGTCTCAGCAGCTCACTTTGTGATCAGTTGATGATAAAAGTTAACTTTTAGGAGTAAAGAATGGAAAGATAGAAAGTTTTTAGTTTCTTGATGAAATCACTGGGGACATGAACAAAAGTCAACATCTGAGTACCTTTAGATTTCTTACTATGTGAAAAAAAATTAAAACATGCACATTTAGTCCTCCAACAAGCTGTTTGCCATTTTCAGCTGAATTCATTGGGGCTCCATTGGTTTTGGGTAGTAGAGCTCTCTCACATTCATTGTGAATATAATAAGCTGGTCCATTTTTGAATGCTCTGTCATTGTTCTGCTTATATTACTTTTATAATCTTTCATAAGGTCATTTTTCATGCTGTAATTTCGAAAGTTCAAATTAAATATTTTCTTGCTTATATTAAAATTTTAGAACACTAGTTATGATTTTAATAATTTTTAATAATTTAATAATTTAAGAAGGAAACTTGCTTTTAATATTTTCCATTGAATCACACAGTTACTATTTGAAGTATGGTGCCAAAACTTACAAAGCTAATTACTTTTTCTCTATGGATCCTTGACACATTCAGCTGCATTACAAATATAACCATAAGACTGTGCTGGATATAATAACTTTTGCATTCTCAGTTCATTCTAACGCACTAGATAACGAAGTTACCGGTGTGTTCCTCCTCGACTTTTATAGACAACTTGTCTACAGAGGATTAGCTATCTCAAACTCTGCTTTGTAACAAATTTTATGAATTCCAAATTCTACCTCTCAAAACAGCCATGGCAGCAGGGCTGCTTCACCTGAAGACTCACAGCTAAACAGACTCCATGCGGCCCACTGTACAGAGCTACTTTCCAATACTTAAAAGAGAGTACACAAATCCTTGTAATAGCCTGATATGTCTCTGATAATTGGACCGTCACACAAAAAAAGCTTCTCTAGATCTAGAGTCAGCCATCAATCTTGTTTAAATACAACATTTTTACCTGGTCCAAAGGGCACCTTCAGATAGCCAAAGCAAAATGTAACATATGTACTTATCCATGTACTTTAAAACCTTATTGAACCTCAAAAACTCATAGAAAACATGCTATACATAAACATTTACAAAGAACATTCGGAATAATCACCATTGGGAAAACATCATAGTTGTTGGATTGTTTTATATTATTTAGTTGGTAATGATAAAACATAGTCCTCATTTGCTCATAAAGTATTTAGCTAGCCTCATTAACTATAGGTGGTTCACTGAAAGTGTTGCCGTTTTTTTTTTTTTATTAAATTCTGTAGTGCTTTTTTTTTAAGAAATAGGATAATAAAATAGCCTAATGAGTTATTGATTTGAATGTCAATTAATTTGTTAAACTAAGACTTTATTGTTATTGGCATGTTAGCCATAGTCTAACTTGATAGTTTTTACTATATATCTCTTCCCTTCGAAATATGAAGCTGATAAAAATAGCTTACCTGATTTCCTCCCATACCATGACAGTTGAAGATGCCCACTTTTTCATTTTCCTTGCGGCCCATGTTGTCTAAACATTGATTGGTTTCGACATTTCTTATCTAAAGGAAACACACAAAAACATAAGTTGGATAGTAATATAAATCAAAAAATCTTTGATATTATCAAATTGCATATTGATAACAAAATGATACATGTTTGTAAGGAAATTTCTCTAAGAAAAACACATTGTTTTAAATATTCATTTTTTCTTTTTCCATGCCCAGTCTTAGATCTGTATAAGTTTCTAGACTTCTATCGAAGTAAATTTGAACAGCACTAACATTGTCATTAGCATCTAATTAAAAAGCACTACTTGTTTACAGCATAATATCAGGGAAAAGGGCAACATCTACATATTACAAATTAGGAATTCTTCTTAAAATCCTTTTAAAATTAGGACAGTTTCTAAATTTCACTCATTCTTGAACTTCCCATGGTATTATATGCAAAACAAAACAAAGCAAAACAAAAAAACCCAGAAATAAATTGATTAAATATTCAAGTTTATGTTTTATAGATTGTTTCATTACTAGATGTTCCACTCTGTATATTAACAAAGATTAATTACATTCTTTATTTCTGTAACTAAAACATGTTCATGCATCTTTTTTCATTCCTAATGCCAAACTTGATGGAAAGCAGTTGAATCTAAAAAAGCCTAGTACAAGGCTAAGTGATGATTTCACATTAAAAATTCTTCAAGAGCAAGATTAAATTGCCAACTGCAAACATAAGATTCTTAGTTTACACTCAAACACTGCATTAGTTCTGTAATTAACATAAATTAATACATATTTAAGCCAAATGTAATTTCAAAAGCCATTCACTAATGTTAAAAACACTAAAATTACTAAATCACGTAAAGATAGATGAATGCAAAAAAAAAGGGAGAAAAACCTTTTTAATAGATGGAATGTTTTCAACTTCTTCCTTAGTCTCAACCCCAATTATGCATTTACTATACATGTCCACTCTTCCAAAAAGTTCTTATCTCTGACTCTTACTAGGACATGCATATTTTACTGTTCATTCATACATCACTTGGATATATCTATTTAGTTATCTATCCTTTAGGTACATGTTTATTCATATTGGCAAATGAATAAGGTTAAAAACTTCTACAGAATATGAATTAGGCTTATATAATTCATTTTTCTTTTCTTTTTTTTTTTTTTTCTTGGTATGGAGAAGAAACTCATGGCTAACTAATAGCTTCTGGAATTGGAGAAAATGTTGTGATTTGCATTAAGGCCCCAGTTGGCAACTGATAACAGTGGGGATTGGAATTCAGACTTCGTAAGGGTTGGAAGAGCCAAGCAAAGTGGTCGAACCCTGCTTCAGTGGGCTGAGATTTAGAACAGGATTATAGATGCTTTCATCTGAGCAGCAACCTATGAGAAATGACAGAACACCATGAATATTAGGGGGAAGAGATACAAGCTTCAAGAAACAGTATCTTGTCCAAGTCGCATATTGGTGGGTTTAGGGCTAAAACGTACTCTCTCTTTGATTTAGGTATACTTGAGTGATATAAAAATAATAATTAAAATGAGAGATTTCATGGCAAACTTTGGAGGTAAGGTTAGGACTGTAATCCATGGGAAAAGGGTTAAGTAATTTTTTTCAGTGTTTTGCATCTGGGCTGCCCAACAGACTCACTTGGAAAGCTTATAGAATATTCTGATTTGCCTCACTCTCATAGATTCTGATCCAGATGGTCCAGAGAAGGACTAGGATATAGTTTAAAGCTTCCCAGATGATTCGAATGTATAATTAGTGTCGAAACCCCTATATCAAGAGAACACAATGGAATGCTTGTGAGCTGAAAACCTATGTGTTTTGTGAGTCATTTTGAAAACTCTAAGTACTGATGGAAAACAAAGAAGATTTTTGTGGCAATGCTGATTCCTTTATTACTCAGCGGGGATGTTTAAGGGCAAATGTTTCCAGCTGTACCTGACAGAAAATGTTTACACAGGAGACCATTTCTAATTTTACAAGTCTAAATTTCTAGTTCCTGTACTTTTTTGAAGAACTGAAAAAAATTGTTTTCTATATTTTGAGATCTTCTGGCTCTGTTCTTCTCGTCTACTTTTATCTGGACCTTCAATTTCCTTTGTCTCCATCGTCCCTGCCTCCTCAGTTTGGGTTTCATTCCTTGAAGTTTCTCCTGAGAAGAAGCTTCAGCTAGTGAGTTTTAAGAATTCATAGGTCATAGAGTGTTCAGACCCTAAAGACATTAGAAAGGAAACTTTTCACTGAACTCCAAATTGGAATGTATGAAACACCTCTCCCAGTTTTAACTACTATTATCATATATTCATGAAATTCACAGCTCATATTTTAGGATTTGTTAGAATACCTTGCCACCTAATTTTGTTGACATTGTCCATCAATTTCTTTTAATTAAAAATATTATTTTTAAAAATTTTTATATTACTATCCTGGATATCCTGAATAGCTCTTTCTGTTTTCGTGGGAGAATTCAAAGACATTCAAATGCTATGTCATTGCTGCCACTATTTTTTTCAGAATTCCAGAATACTCTTATTTTGGGGACTGCATGAAAAGAAGCCTGTTATATATTTAACATGTTCTAACTTTTCTATAAAGTAGTTTGGTAGTTTCTGAACATGTAATATCCCTTGTCTCTTAGGATATAGAAAAAGTATACAATATAGGAACTCAAGTCAAATCTGGTGAGGCTGGCTGATCTGGGAGAATAGGAATAGACAGAAGTCAGTGGTTTAGGACAGCTGTCAGAATGAGACGGGGAGACAACCACCACCACCACCACAATAATAAATAGCAATTATTGTAACAGCTAAATTGCATGAGTGCATAAGTATATAAATAGCATTTATGTGTAATAGCTAAATTAATATTTATAACCAACCTACTACCCCTATTTTATAAATGAAAATATTAAGATACAGTGAAATTAAATAACTTGTCCAAATAAGGAATTGAAAGTTATAATTGAAGTTATTATAATGAGTTTGGAAATAGCCCAGTCCTGAATCCAGGCAGGCAGAAGTTTTCATCAGAAAAGAAGCCTGGAAGGAACAAGGGAGGATCGAGTTCTAGGTAACAGTAACAGCAGGTCATCCAGACAATGGTGAAGGCACATGGAACAAGCCATATGAAAGCAGGCTAGGATCAGACCTAAGACCAAGCTAAGAAGATTAGAAGTAAAGTTTTCTTCAAGCTGAATGCCACACTGTTCGGCTGAAGTTATGTAAATAATTTCTGGCTTTGGCCAGGATGACATTAGATACAAACAGGAAGGGGCACAGAGTATCAGGGAACAGGGGTATTGATAGTCATCATTAAAAAAAATAGGGGGGACACATCATTTGGATAGAGATGATGTCTGAAAGGTTTATATCACCAGGCCTATGATATCCGAATTTAAAAAAATTCATGCACACCTAGAAAGTAGGTTGGTATACATCAGATTGCTCACAAATCAGTGAGCCCAGCAAAATGGGAATTATTATTACTTATTATTACAGAACGATGAAAATCTGCTACATATTCTTCAAAATGTAAAAATGGTCATTAGTGTGTAGTGACAATCTTCAACAAGCAATCAATGCATATTACAAGATATTGACACACAGGAAAGTTCAAACTATGCATCTCATCTTTTGAAATACAAGACGATCAGATTTAAGATTATATTGTGTGATTTTCTAATCAGAACTTTTCTAAGAACACTTGGGACATCAAACAAACATATATTGCCAAAAATTATTGTTTAAGCAAAGTGAAATTTCAGGAAAGACCTTGGTCTTCTCAGTGGTACCATATTACCTAACAATACAATTGCTTGTTCATGGCATTAAGAAAAATCTAGGCAACCAACCACTGAAGAAATTTATCCATTAGAAGGTCCGTATAGAGTCTGTTCTATGACTTGAATCAACATAAATATAGTACACACTGGTAATTCTGAGATCTAGAATATTCCTTTAATTCACCCTTTATGTCGTGTTATAGTTTTGAATATGTGGTGTACAGCCAACATAGTTTTAACTTTAATTATTGTCCACCTTGAGATTTCTATGTTAACACATAATATTTTATTGTTTGAAAACATTTTTTTAATGGCATAAACTTGAGAGTATTTTTCCCTCTTGTGTTTTAATGTTTGAAATCAGTAAGCCCTTTTCTAAATGTTTCTGCTCATCAGCAGCATGTTTGGTAATATTCTTAAAGCTTAAAGTTTTGTTCATTAGCTTGGGCTCCCTCTGCTGGATTGTTATAGCAAACAACAATGGGAACTCCACTTCTTAAAAGAGGCATATACTCCCTCTCATCACACACACCTTTACATTTGAAAACTAATATGTAAGATCCATTCTAAAAATAAGTGTTTAAATTTAAACTTAAACTAGCTTTTTTTTGCTTTAATTACAACAATACTTGCTTATCCTTCAATTGCACATTATATGACTCATTATTATTTTACATATGTCAATCACATTTGGTTTCTCTTAACTTTGTAAAGAAAGAGACACATTCACAGTAAATTCTAGAGTTAAATGTTAATATTTCTATATTATAATTGTCATAGTGAATATACATTTTAGCATATTTTCTCTTTACCAAATTGCAAATAAATCAGAGGGATGAGTACAAAATCTATATGCTTAAATCCAAGCTGAGTTTGGTTTAAAATGCCCTGATTAATGACTATGAAATTAAAAATTCTGAGTATGTGATATCTTAATCTCTTTCACAAAGAAGGAAAATAACATTAAAAAAATGAACGATTCTATTTATTTTGGTGGATAACAAAAACAAACGACAATGAGAATTAGTTCTAATCTGATTATCAGCAAAATGAAGTAAAAATATTTTTCAGGTACTAAACTCACTCATTTTGTTCACAGGTGGGTCAACCAGCCCACGTTCTTTAAGGTTAACATCTGATGAAGAGTACGTATTCTACCTGTACATATGTGTATTCAGCTACCCTGAGATTAAAGTTAACTACTGGGTACAAAAAGTTTTAGAAATATAATCACAGGCAGAGAGAATTGTCCCCATTTGTGTAAGTCATCTAAAAGGAGGCTTTCTTACTGGTTATCCTATTAAGGGATCAAGACTGTGAATCTATAAATAGATCGATCTCCTGATTACCAGCTGAGAGGGTAAAACTCTAAGCATTTTAGCTTCTGCATTTGGCAGTAACTGATTATACACTTAATCCCTACAGCCTAGCAGCTTCCTAGATGTCTATTTTTAGTGACTTAAATTTGCTCTTTAACAATATTTAAGGATACAGTGCCAATATGTGCTGACATCTTAATTATTATGGTTAAAAGATACAAGAGGAAAAAGAAGTGTCGAGGTCAAGTATGTACTACAAAATGCATAGACTAATGTCTAAATATTTTCAAAGCAACACACAACTGCAAATTTTAAGCCCCAAGAGTTAAGTCACTTGACTCCAGAAATCCTCTTCCTCCTCTTACCCTCTGATATACCTTTGCTCTACATAGCTCATAATACATTTTTTTCCCCAAAAATGCTGACTTGTCATAGGCCAAAAATTTGGGGTGAGGGATTATTGCTTTAGAATGCCATTTTTCAAACTGAACCTTGAATTAGCCTTTATATTACAAGATCAGAACCTGGCATGCTAAAGCTATGTAAACTGAAGGCCTAGTTAAGAGAAAATTTAATGCTGCTAAGAGCTTGACTTCCTTATTCCATTATGATCTACTTACTGAGTCTAAAAGGCACATGCTTCATTAAGCTACTTAAAGGTTTTAGTTCAAAGCAATTCCACAGCTTTTAATTTCCCATTGGAAATTGCATGAATTTCATGGGCTGGGTAAAGTAATATTTCAATTATCTGAGCAAAATTAGAAAACAGGAAATTAAGATATAACCATCTGACATCAATAACTCTACTGATGACTATTTTGGTGACAAAATATGATAAAGAGAAACTTAATATCATATTTGCCTCCATCTTCCAATATAGCTAGGAAAGTTAAAAAGAGAAATTGACAGGGAATTGTTAATATTTACCAATGTACTACAGTATTAACTATAAGGGTTTGAAAAACTTTAAAGTTTGTAAATTGTTAAATCTTAACAATTTTATTTGAAATTAAGTGTGGAGAATATATGAATACACTACAAAGAAATAATTTTGTTGTCTTGATAAGTAGCTTGGACAACTGATACCACTGTGATATTTGATAAGTAGTATCTTTGTATATAAGGCAAATTAGCTTTTTCCCTTCTTTTCATAATGGTTAATGACAAGCAGAAAGAAAAAGCTTTAAGTAAATGACTGTTGTCCATTAAGAGTTTATCCTAAACTCATTATCAACATGTCTATCTTAAATTATGTATACATGACTATGCAAAATTGAATTGGGAAGTAGTGCTTGGTGAATTTGTCCTTTTGTTTCCATAGAAACAGTTGCTGGATTGCTTCTCTTTAAGTCTGTCTTTAAAGTGGAAAACTACAGTACATTAATATTGTAGAAAGTTAAAAACTTAATATATCTCAGATTTTTTATTTTGCTTAGTTTTCAAAATGGGAGTTCATAGCATGTCTATATAGCTCATATAGGGCACCTTTTATTTCTACTAAATTTCTTGATTCTTTCTTGCTATCTCCCTACCCACCTTTTCAGTAGAATGACTAAAGAATGAAGGTCTTTCCTTATTTGACTTTGCACTCTTAGCATACAAAACAGGTTCCAGCTCAAGCTCTTGTTTAATATAAACATTTTGAATGAATAAAATATAATAATATAATCTATTTTCTTCTCCTAGTTGTAAGAAAAAGTGAACTTTACTGTTAGACTAAATTCATGTATTTTAATCTTGACTTCAATAGTTAGCTAGGTCTATGACCCATAGATCAATGACATAAACTTTCTGTATGTCAGTTTCCATATTAAATGGGAGGTAATAACGAAACCCAAAGTCAATGAGTTGTGACTTTTAAATGATACAGTGTTATAAAGTATCTAGAATAATGTTTGACATAGTAAGAAATCAATAAATAGTAGCTATAATAATTACAATAACTACACTTATTTCCAGGCATAGTACTCGATGCTCTGTATCACCAATCATTGCTAGAGCCCTGTTATGATTATCTGCATGCTTCTGACAGGTACCTGAGAGGATACCTAGTGCCACTCAAGTTGTAAACTGTGAATGACATCAGAATTTAAACCCTCCTCTGCTTGACTCCAAGGTCTGGGGTTTTATCGATACAATATACTGCCTTTTCTGGATACGTTTCAAAAACTCGGAAAGGCACAATCTCTCTCTTTAAACGCTTTTCAAACTCTTTCTATAAATTAAAATATGATCACCTGATCCATTACGGAAGATAGCTAATTCAAAATCAGTAGGTAGCACAAAGAAATTTGCCCACAGTATACTCTATTTCTAGTTTTTCAGGAAATCAATTAATTAAGTTTCCTTGATGTAGAACCAGAAAGTATAAAATTAGATTTTTAACATGGAAGTAAACATCTAGGTTCCATTTCAGAGCTCTGAGTTTTTCTCAGGACTCACTTGGGTGGCCTCAGATAATTTCCAATAAGTCTTCTTTACTCATATCTGTCTTGTTACAGGCCCCGGTCATATTTCCTTTTAGAAAAAGCAATCAGCGTTTACTCATTAGCTGGGTCCATTGACTACAATGGAAGAAATTCTCTACTACAAAAAAAAAAAAAAAAAAAAATTTCTCTTTTACTAAAGATATAGTCAGATTCACAATTGCTCAAACTTTTCAGTAAAGAAATAAGAGTACTGGATTTTTTATTGAGGATCTTCAGTAGGACTAGGTCATAATAATGAGCATACAAAAAGTGCTTGCAGTTAAAAAGCACCCTCATATACTTTGTTTGAATATAAATCTCTATTACATTGGTGTTAGCGTGGTATATTACATATTGAAGACAATGCCAACAACAATCCCTTCCCCCACTCCTACCATAAAAACAAAATAAATAAATAAAACCCTGAAGCTTAGAACTAGGAAATGACTAAAGTCAGACCCAGAACGTGGTAAATTCAGTAATTATTGCACATGAAACTTTGCACTATGCTATTCAGATTAAGGTTAAATATATGTACACTGAAAAATTCTATAGCGAGATATTTACATGGCTAACAAAAAGTGAAGATTTGACCAATAACGCATGGATATGGCACAGAAAAACAGGCTTTCAAAACAATTCAGCTAGGGCTCCATTAAGTTTGAACCTTATTTTCTAGTTAATTATAAGTAAATTATATTTATGGATTAAAATTACAGAGTGAAGAAAGTACAGATTTTTTTTTTTTTTGGCAAATAAACCCAAAAAAGGATTAACTCGAACTCTATAAATTTTCAGATATTCTATTACGATCTACAAAAATAGCAATTTCAACCAAAGAACAAAATTAATAATTATTTTCCAAATGCATTATATTATTCCTGTTGAAATGCTTTAATTAAAACCAATATTAAATTAGTTTTGATTCCCAAACCTAATTTCAATTAAGGTGGAAATTACCAACAAGGAACATTCAATTAATAAAGGAATAAGTCTTATTCTGAAGAATTAAATATATATTATGAATATATATTTGTATAGTTATGATGAAGCCAACTGTGTATTTCTAAAGATAACGTATATTTTGGAAAAGAATGGTTCTCAGTGGGTACGCAAAGTCAATGTGATTTTAATAACACTAAGGTATTACCTGCAATTTTCACTCTCACTTCTCATGAATATACAGGGAGTCTTACAGAGACTACATGGTTTGTGGTATATCACAGTAGGTTGAATACCGAAACAGAAATTAAGAATCCAGCTATCTTCTAATAGGCCAGACATTAAGCAATTTACAAAACTATAAATGATGTTAATCTTCTTATCATTTGATTTTGCTTTGGAAAATATGCCTATTTTTCAAAAATCTTAATTATATTAACATGTAATAAATTATTACTTTTTTTAGTCAATTAATAGATAGTTTTTAAGGTTCTCAGTTTTAGTTTCAATACCATAAATATTAATAGTTATACCTCACATAAGCAAAAGCTCTTTGGGGTTCACAATAAATTTTAAGAGTGTAAGGTCCACAGGACCAAAAAGTTTCAGAGCTGCTTGTAAAGAAACAAAAAAATAATAATATTTATTCAGTCTTAAACGATCTTTTTACTTTTACAAATCCCAAAGACAAAGATCTTTATGGTCCTTATAATATATGAGAAATCATTAAAAATAGATTTAAATACCTTTGAAACATTTTATTCATAACATAAAAAATATTGAGCTCCTTAGAGATTGCTCCATTTGCAAAATAAATTTATAACTTAACCAAAATAAATAATTCATACCTCACCAAGTGAGTAATAACGTCTTGGAATCTGGGAGTCCGGATAGATGTTTTCAAGGTACCAAGAAAAGGGCTTACACTTCAGATTTTCTCTTAGTGTCTTTCTGACTGACACATCTCCATAATCCACTTTGACAACACCTGGAATTTTTCAGAGAAACACATCAATTTGTGCTATTTTTGTTTTAGCACTGCTTCACTCTGTTTAATTTGCTATCAGTTTTTTCTCTATAATTATAATTCCATCAAATTCAATTGCATATGCAGCTGTTACTACACTGATTTTCTTACTAACATCCAATTAGTACATTTAATAAATATATGAAAAAAAACACAGTTTTCCATTGGATATGACTTTTCAAATGCAAATATTTATCACCAAGTACTCGTACTTCTTAGATTGAATAATTAATCAACTAAGTGTAAACTGGTATTAATTTAGCATTTCATAATCAAAATTTAACTGAGCTGTTTAATATTGTGGTTGTTTCTCTTTAATAAAAACTTCAATAGTTCCAATGTTTCTGTTAATGCTCATATTTTTTTCTACAGTGTCATTTATTCACCACTTATAGATTTTATGAGAAATTCACTATATAATTATGATCCTCCCAATATACAGCACTTATACATTCTAATTTTCCCTTCTTCTTTAACTTTTATTCTACCTAGGCTTATCATAGACTGATTTCTTTTTCTTTATTGATTTTTTTCTGTTTTATTTTATAAGTTAATATAAGCCACCTGAAATCCTTGGATAAGTTAGTAAATAAGCATAAAGAAACTAACATAAACAAATGAAATATACTCACAGGTGTATATTAAAATTGCTTAGCTTTACTTCATATTATAGAATATATGAAATTAAAAAGAATGTTTTCATTGAGGATCATAAGAGAATGCTTTCTAGTTGAGAAATAAAAACAATAATGTTGCCTACTAATTTTTATGTAAAAAGATATGGTGACATGATTTGTATATTATTATCAATATTAAAAATGACACTTGACTGAAATGACTAAATAACTGTGATAAGATTGCAATTATTTCTCAGATTATTTTGAAAAGATCTCTGTTTAACATGGCCCAGTATTTAGTACATTCTATCCCAACCACACAGCAAAGCCAATCAATCATTCCATAAAATAAACAATTGTTTAGACAACCTAAATGTCTGCAACTAATGCCATTATTTGGGTCACTATATTAAAAAGCAGCAACCCTCTTGAAGCCCATCACTTGCTAGCTCCACCCTCTACTCGTTGTCTCTTTAGGATTTTTGTTTTACAAAATTAATGTCTTAGAATTCTTAGAAAGTATTTTGATGATGCTTAAATAGCCAAAACACTTCTTTCTAAGAAAATATTGATTTTTCTAGCTGGCATTTGGATAAAAAAAACAACAAGGTCTCTGGCTATTTAAAATAGATAAATATTTGCTTTCAAAATATTTTTATCCAGAACTTCTGATCTGGAGTTTAACCTTCAAAAAAAGGTTTGAAAACATTTACAAAATAGATCACTAAAATAAATTCTCTTAGTGTTAAGTGCTATGGCAGCTGAAATCATCTAATTGATGATCTTTAATAATGTAAGATATGCCTCCTTAGTCTCTATACTGGAGGAAAAGAGAACTGGAGGGTCTCAGAGTTGCTTTCCTATCTTTAAGACCAGAACTGACAGATGTCCCTTTCACCCACTGTTCATTGGCCAGGACCAGTCAGATGTTCCTGCCTAAGTGCAGGAGCCTGGGGAATGTAGAGGAGTATAGGGAATGTTTGGTGAGCACTGTGTCTCTTATCACAATATTTCACTTCTATGTACAAGGACTGAGGGGTACTTGTACCCCAGTGAGTGTAACTACAAAATGTTCAAGACTTTGTTGGCCCGTATTAATGAATGACTGTGAAGTAGAGGCTGAATTCGATTATTCAGATCTGTAACTTAAAATATCATCTGCCCTGTTTTCCAAACTCTTATCTTCAAGCCTTTCTAAAGTAGTTTATTCAATTGTTTATCCAAAAATTTTACTGGGATTACTAAGAGGCATCTCTTTATTTTCCAACCTGCTCCATCTCCAAGGTTCTCCGTTTCAGTAACTAGCACAAACATCCTCCCATTTACTCAGGGCAAAAACAAAGAAGTAATTCTCTTTGTCTCACACACACATATTCAATTTATTAGCACTTTCTGTTGGCTCTTCATTCACAATATACTCCCAGCCCCTTCACCGACCCCTCTACTATCCTAGTCCCGCCCTCTCTCACCTCTTGCCTAGACTAGCATTACAATATCCCTCTTACTAGTCCCACTGACATCTTACATTCCTCCACCTATCCTTTATTTAATACTGCCTGCTCCCTAGACAATATAGTTTAAATATAAATAAAATAATGTCACTCCCCTGCTCCAGAGCTTCTAATAATTTTCCATGGTGCTAGAGATAATTGACAATATCCTAACCATTGCTTACCACCCTTCATGAACTGACTCTTGGCTATCTCTTTGAATTAGTCATCTATATTCACTTCATTCACTTCATTCTTTTTGCTGTGTAATTTTTTTCTTTGTTTTTCTTCTAACGTGCCAAGGTCATTCACAATTCATGGTTTTGTACTCATCCTCTTTCCTGTCTAGAATTGTATTACACAGAAACTTACATGGGCTGTCCTTCATTTGGTACAAGTCTCTGCTCAAACTTCACTTCCTCAGGTTTACTCTGACCTTCTTATCCTAATCGATCCCTCTATCCCATCATCATGAGTCAGGCTCTATCCCTCTATCTTGCTTGGTTGTTCCCTGGGGCACTTATTACTACTTGATATTATATTATAGATTAATCTGCTCATTGCCTCCCATCAAAATTTTGGATAAATTATTTAATCTCTTGAAGCCTCAGGTCTCCTATCTTATGAAATGTTGTGAACGTTAAGCAACATCTGAAAAAGGCATAGTGCAATGCCTGATATATAATTGATGAATATATATTGCATATTGTTAATAGATATTTATTGTCTTTATATTCCCAATGCCCATTCTGCATATCGGTTTTATTTGGGCAACCATCCCTTCCCCACTTGCAGTTTGTGTGGTTTGGTGACTCCATTCCCCTATCCCCTACATTCCCAACTCAAAAAGGGGCACAGACTAAAGGCATATCACCAGGGAATCTTGTTAAAATGCAGATTATGATTTAATTGGTCTGGAGTGAGGCCTGAGAGTCTGTACATCTATCAAGCTCCCAGGAGATACTGCTGTTGCTCAGGCCAAATTCTGAGTAACACTCAGACAATCAAAGAATTCCATTTCTCAACTTTACACCCAACCCATAAAAATGATGGGCTCAGGAATGGGAATGTGAACCAGCCAGCCTGATTGAAGAATACTGAGAATTAGCTAGTTGAAGTTGAAGCTCTATTTCTTCTGGAATTGCTAGCTGCAAAGATGCTTTAAGCATGGAGCTTCTGGGGCTACTATATAAAGAATTCCATATACGTGAGTAAGATAAATAAACAGATGGAAAAAGAAAGAAAGGAAGAAAAAAAAAACAGATGAAAGGCCAAGTCAAGATTAAGTCAGCAAATACATATTTATTGCATTGCAACTTTTTTTAAGGAGCATTTTCTAGGCACTTGGGACACATCAGTGAACAAAAGTATCTTCCTCTATGGAGTTTATATTCTAGTGGAGAAAGACATTTAAAAAAACAAAACAAAAAAAAACAGCAACACCTGAAAAGGTGATACATGCTATGACAGAAATTGACTAAGGTAAGGGAGGAAGGTTATAATAGAAAAAATTTTAATGCATTACTACATATTTTTTTCAAAGACAACTTATTATAAGAACTCCAAGTTTTTAAGACGAATATTTCAATGGGATTTGTACAAAGGCTTTGACAATAAGATGAAGATGCATAATAAATTAGAAAGAAAGTATTTAATTAACTACAGGTATGCAGGTTTGATTAATAGGTAAATGATAACATTTATGAATTGTTATACTTTATTAAATAACCTGTCCTTTATTATCTTTTTTAAAATCCACGTCATGGTAGTATTAAATTTAGATATGTAGGACATTCTTGTTTTAAATTTATAATAGATAATAGACTGAAGATCATGATGATCTCAGTTAAGTTCTTCTCTAGTAGATGCTTAATAAGCTGAATATTTCTGGTTTCCCTATAATAAAGGTACCTGATGATAGAATACCTTGATTATAAGCTAAAGCTTAGATTTTATGCATAAGAATATATATTGCAACTTAGCTTAAAGAAAAGGGAAAATGATTTTCCTTCAATAGGGAATGTTTAAGTAAACCAATGGTATATCTAATTGATAAAATATAATTTGTATATTTAAACAATTATGACTGTATAAGAATATGGAAAAATGTTAAAATATTTTTAAATGTATTTCAATTATAACTAATTGAAATGAGAATATATGCAACAATGAAAAAAACAGAAAAATAAAAAGAGCACATTCTCTTTGAAACTAAAAAAAGAGAACTTAATATATCTATTTTTTTTGTTAGCACAATTAAAACTATGCAGGTAATCAAGAAGTTTTTTATATACAATGATATCATATTGACAATATACTTGTATATTTTGGTATATACATAGTATATATTTTGGTATATATTTTGGTATGTATACATAGACCAGTATACATAGTTTTAGCTAAGATTTTTTGTGTGTGATATTTTCAAAATTCCCCATAAGAGAAAATCATCTTATTTTGTTTCATTGAATAATTTTCATCAGGAACTTTATGAATAAGGATCTGAATGTCCTTCTCCTCAAAAGTAATAATAAATCACTTTTAAACCAATGAGAGACTATTGTATTCTAATGTATATAAATATTATATTGTGTCAGAGATTTAATGGATTACTTGGAATACTCTTTTTTTTTAATTATTCAAAACCATTCTTTTAATCCACCATTTAAAATTTTACCCATTCTTGATATACACAAAAACTCCCCAGGCTCATAACCACTGATTAGGAAGTCACTGAAAAGAAATGCATTAACAGGCTGATGGCCCATGCCAGCTAATAATACATAGTAATTATCTGCTGAATTTAGCTTTTTTTATTATTATAACTGCAATTTTATTTTAATGGAATACAAAT